AATTTTTACTTCTGTCCATAGACTGGGGTACAATGGGTCTCCTCGTGATAGCAATGGGGTGGTTTACACAAAGATCAAGGATAGAATATTGCCATTATGTAGTCACTAAACTCTATTCCGTACCTTCTAGCTGTATTCATTCTCTCTCACGGGGCAAATACTCATCTTTACAAGCACTGCTGTTTCTGCCCTTGGTCTGGTCTCTCCCATTTTCAACTCCCTTTTACATGGGCTTTGCTCTCAACCCCATCACAGGTGCTAAAATGACCAGCCATTAAATAATTATAGGTGATGTGAACTATCATCAAAATGCTCTGAAGTTAATATTTCATCAAGTTGAATGAGAGGTTAGTTAATCTGTGAGCCATTATGTCTATTTACTGATATGAAAACACTGTATTGATTTATATTTAGTTCACATGTGGAAGATTATCTCTGCATGCAGGAGGAGTAGGAACTTTCCTTTTTGAAAAGAAAGTTTAGATTCTGGAAAACCCATGTTTTGTTGGCCACAAATTCACTGAGTTGTCCGGACCTTCAACAACACAATTCCATCCTCCGGAAGTCACACTAGTTTCAGGTTGCTTTTATCATTGGTGAGACATTAATTTGCAGCAGTATTATAACTTGGAAGTCTAAATTACAAGGACCCAATAAAGCATTATGAGTAAGAGCCCAGTTCAACAGAAACTCTATAAGAAAGTTATTCAGTAACTCTTTTGAAAGGTCTACAGTATGTTCTTCAGCAGCTCACCAGTCCTATTTAGTAGATGCTCCAAAGTGTTTGCAGCGAAAGTTTCCCAAATGCATAACCCCACCCATTAGCCATAGATAATCTACTGTTGTGAGTTACACACCATAGCATAAGGCCCAACCTTGCAAATGTACGAGTAAAGAGGCATTTAAGGTGCCCTACACTTATCGGGCCAGACCCGGATATTATTTCCTCCTCCTCTTCCTCCTCCCCCATAGTAAAGCACTTTGAGATCTACAGCTGAAAAATATTATTGCTTTATCAGATTTTGGACCAATGTTTAAAGGATCAATGTCTGGTGCAAAAGGGTACATACACTCACTGAAGAGGGAGCTGTAGCCTATTAGGACAGATCTGAAGTCAGCTCACTGTCAGTTTCCAGAAGGGGAATAAGTGACATTTTAAGTACAGTGTATTTTGACAGTCTCAAAGTATTTAATTCCAAAAGCTTCAGTAATTGTTTTAGTTGAAGACTATAAGGTGGTTCTGAAACACCTATTGTCCCACAGTAAGATATACCATCATCAGAAGCATATCATTTATTCTCTAGTAAACGCTTCAGTTCAACCCATGCACTGTGTGGTGTTGGACTTAAATGATATGAAAATTTTAATTCTATCTTTAGAACATGGAGGAGTCAGATTAATTTTGTATGCTGGTCTAGCAAGTGGGGTACCAGACACCAACACATTTGGAATTCAGCAGCAAACCTCAGCACTGGGCTAGTCTAGATGCATATATAACCTGTCTCCCATGTTAAAGTCCTCTGTATTGGCTCCCAGGAGGACTCAATGAGGTGAGGTGTCGAAAGATTTGGTTGAGCAATGGATCCTGACTTCTGGGTCAGGAGATTCACTGGCAGGAGAAGACAGAGGTGGTTGCAAGGACAGGCAGATCTGCTCTGGGAACCACAGGTCTTGGCTAAGATGGTGCTATGAAGATGGCTACTAATTTTTCTTGTTTAAATTTGTTTAGGACCTTGATCAGTAAGGGAGGTGGAGGATAAGTGTAAAGCAGTATGTGAGGCTAAGGGAATGACTGGGGCATCTCCCATCGAGTTGCAGCCGTGCCTTCCCCTCAGGCAGAATCATCTGCCCTTTGCAGTGGATAGAGTTGCAAAGAGACCTATCTGTGGATGACCCCACATAAGACATCTCTCTCGGAATACCTCGTCGTTCAGTGCCCACTTGTGGTCGACACAGGTGGGATGGGAGCTGGATTTTGCCACACTATGCTTGCTGGGGCCAAGAAAGTGTTGTTAATGAGCACAGCCTTGGGGAGAACTTGCCTTGGATGTATGATGGATGTTCAACAAGGAATGCTGGAGTTCCTGTATCTCCTCCAAGGGAAGTTGTAAATTGTCCACTACATGTTTCATCAGGTTTTGAAAGGCCTTGAAATCATCGGGATAAGATGGTGGAGGAGGTATGATTGCCTCATCTGCTGAAGAGGACTTGTGGGAAGGAGGTATTTCTTCCTTCTCAGCTGGTTCTTACTCCTCCATGAGATGTGCCTGAGAAGCAAGGGTCAAGGGCACTGGTTGTTGCCCTGATGTGCCTTCTATGAGATGGGATGCTGTAGAACTGGGTTCCACTGTGCCCACTGAAGTGGAGCATAAGGGTGGGCCCCAAGGTTGTCCTTGCCAGTGTGTCTGGATATTTCCCCTGCTGAATGTTTCCTCCTCCATTTGAACCTTGAGGGAGGGAGGCAGGAAGTCAGAGGACCTTCGTATGGACACCTGAAAGTCAGATGAGGTATCATCTCATGTCCATCACAGGAGCAAAGGGGGCCAGTACTGGGCCTGGGGAAGGCCCTGAACTTGTAATGGTACTGAGGTGCAGGTTGCCTAGTGAGGAGGTACCTGGAGATGTTAAGTTGGTACCATCTGGAAATCTCTCAATACCCTCTGAATCTGTGTGGGGATGGTGCAGCATGGGAGGATGAGTTACCATCAAGGAGGCAGGGATGGAGGGTAGGGTAGGTTCTAGAAAGAGTTGGTACCAGCAAAGAGTCTCTCTCAAACCTGCTTAGAAGAGGTGATTCAGGATCATTCAGGGTGCGATGGTCCTCATGGAACAGGGGTCAGGAGAGCAATCGGGACTCTGTATAGGGATCCTCAGGAGTCAGTCTGTCAGGTGATAATGGAGATGGTACTGAGAAACTGTGCGTGACAAGCATTTCGCCTTGACTCTGGAGGCCTCATGCCTTGAAGGCACTGAGTCTGGTGCCACTCTGGGAGGCTTCTTGGTACACTGCTTCTTTGCCAGCAGCTTAGTATCGGGACTGGAGGGGATGGGAGCCCATAACAAGATACAAGGTCTCCTAAGACCAATACCAAAGGGGTGACTTTTGAGGTCTGAGTGGTGGCACAGGGCCCCCAGCGTCTTCACTTATTGCCAGAGCAAAGCTGGTTGGCATATTCAATGTACAAGGGGGGTGACCTAGGCCCCGTGAGTCTCAGACTGCTTGATTATCAGGAGTTTTAGCCTGTCCTCCCTCAATTTCTTAGATCTACTCTTGAAACCTGCACAGAAGTTTCATTTAGAGGGGATGTGAGACTCCCCAAGTCAAGGGAGACAGCTTGAATGTCCATCACTGCAGGAGAAAGACCTGTTGCAGGTCTGACAGGTTTTTGAAGCTCTGGGTTTTGGGCATACCCCAAACTCGAGGCTGCAGATTGAGGCCTGAGAAAAATCAAACACAGGCCTAGATCAGGCAAAGAAAAAAAAAAGAAAATACAAACTCTGCTAAACAGAAAAAATAGAATCAAAGGAAAATACCATTAAATAAAGAAAATATGAGCAAGAGCTGTAGCAAGCCAAGTGGCTAGCTAAACAGACACCACAATGCTCTGTCTCAAGCTGCAGGTGATTGAGAAGGAATTGGAGTGCTGGCTGATCAGCCTCTCCCTGTGTACCCTCATGCAGGAGCACGGAGTGTCTAGGGTGCAGACGCAGACACCGCTGATCACAAACTCCAGTTAAGAGTGCACAGGCGCACACACGTGCTCACATGGAGTACCCATAGGACACTACTAAAAGAAGAATGCATAGTTTGGTAACAGTTCTTACTGCAAAGTAGCTTCTCTGATCTAGGCATAGTAAGTAGTTGGTTCATGTTCAAAGAGAACTTCATTCAGCTCATTGATCAGAGATTCCCGAACGCACTATTTTCAGTAGCATTAACCGACTATGGTTCGGATTTTCTACACTTATGAAAATGAGAAGCAATCACTAACAACATAGTTATTGTGACATAAAATGTTAGCAGCCTGTCTTCTCCATTTCAGTGACCTATATTGACCTTATCTGGTAGCCAAATATTTTGATTGGCAAGTACTTACTCCTGTTTACTATGAAAAATGTTCATGGTCACTGCTGCTATTCCAGCAGTAATAAAGACTCAATATTCTCTGATTCCTCAAAAGTGGGCCAATACAAATATAAAAATCCTTCAAGTTATTTCCTGCTCTGGATTTCCCAATGTATCCTATCTTTTAGTGTCTGTCTGTCTTCCTTATAATCTCTTTGGGACCGGGAAAAACGTCCTTTTATATCTTAAACAGTGCAAAGTACATTATTGCTTAAATATGCCATCTACATAGCTTACATTGTAGATAGGTTTGTCTGTTTACTGTCTGCCCGTGGGCAAGGCTAAATATCTTAAGCCATTTGCTTTAAGAACCTGTCACCATTTTATTTTCCATAGCAGACACAGTCCAGTTATCTAAGTGCTAGACTGGAACCCAAATTACCACAGGAAGTATGCAGAGATTTGAGTTCTACTTACAGCTCTGACACCAGCTTCTTCTAGAGCCGTGGGTAAGTCACACAACCTCTCCACCTGTCTTCCCATTTGTAAAATGAGTATGAAACAAATTCACCCACCTCAGGGACGTAATTGAGACTTAATTTATTCCTGTGACAGAACGTTGGTGGGTTGATAAATGAATTTGAAATACCGTAGCTAGAAAAGCACTGTAGAAGAAACATGTCATTTGACTACTCCACTGCTCTCTGTTTCAGTGATCTTTTTCCAAGGTCAAAAACTGTTCTGCTACTGAGACTCTTCGATGTATTTAAAGTCAGAGGTTCATATCCAAAATCTAGAGCACACGAACACCCAATGTTTCTTCCCCTCCACAAATATGGGAAAAAGCAGGTGCCTGACATAAGTAAACAAATATTTAAACAACAGCAGCATTACAATAAAAGCAGGATTTTTGAAGAACTCATTAACAAAGGACTAATGCACATATTTTTATTTAACAGCAATTTAGTATGCAGTAGCTAAAAGGTGTGTACATTTTTTTTATTTATTTAGTTTTAGGAAAGAGACAAATGTGTACCTGGATATCAGAATTAGCACCTAATGTATATAGAGAAAATAAACACTCACTACAAGCATTGATCAGGTCTTAAACAGTCTAGGAGCAGAGTCTCATCAACATACAGTAACTACTCAGAGTAATTTCTTGTGATCAACTGACTCACTGCTGCATCTCTGCAGGGAAATGTGGGTAATTAGTTACCTTTAAAACACTAGGAATGCATAGTTCAAACCGTTAAACACAGCAATTTGAGAATTAAAAATAGGACAAGTCACAGTTTTGGTCTGAAATTATTGCAGTGCAAATTTTGAAGTATCAGTATTTTTAAAGCAATTGAATACAATGAAGAGATAGGTACCCTCCCCTTGATGGAAAATTTTTTAATGTTGCTTAAGAACAGCCCTTAGCCAAGCTAAGGAAAGTCTCTCTGAAAAGCATTAAATATCACAGGTACACATACAAGCCATGGCAGACTAAATTAACTGGAAGATATTTAAAATGATATATAAAATGTTTCACTGGAGTATAAAAAAATCTGCAAATGGTTACATATTTTGTGGAGTGGACTACCGGGTTATTTTTCACATGAAATACAGTACACAGTGATGTAAAGCTTTTGTGAAGTGAACTGTATTAACCTTGATTAACTTGTTCACTTTCAGCACTCAAAAAAAAAATCACTAAAGCCTGGAATAGTGCAATTTTGTAAAAATAAATGTACTCTTTCTTGCTCATAGCAGAGTCATGCTCTTAATAAAGCAGCCTCTAAAACATGTTCATATGATGCATGCCTGGATTGTGGAGGGGGGAAAGGGGCGGGGGAAGTGGTCAAGGCCCAACCCATCAGTGAGAAATGGCTAAACAATACAAACTCACTGTATTAGGAAAGGGAGTAAGTCACTGTTAGCTGAGCATTTGAGCCATTTCCCCCACAACTATCACCACATGTTCCAAGTCTGCCATTTTCCTCTCCTTCCAAAACCTGCTTCAATGCTTTCTCTTCTTAGAAATAAGCAACACCAGCACCTACCTGCAACCCAACAGACCACCAGTGTACTGACAAAAATGGAGGAAAATGTTAAGATGAAAAAATATTTCCATTTTCAGATCCCAAGAGTTATTATAAAGAAGGAGCTTAAAAGCTATGAATACTACGATATAGTTCTGTCAAGCTTTCAAATCTGCAGTTCATTCTGTTGCATCACCCAGCTTGCTAAAATACATTAATGGCGTACTTCCTTATATACTGTGAAGTTAATATTGAACTAAATAAAAGGTGCTAAAAATGGACATTTTTATATATCATTTTGTACTAATACACACGGTGCCATGCACAGTTGAAACATTACTTTTTTAAACCTATTTACAATTCTACATAGTTATTTTACACTATATCTTTCATCATTACAACTATAGAATAAATTCAGACTCTGGAACACTGGTACCTTTGAGTTTCTGCTAGAACGCCCAACCTTGCATTATTCAAGAAGTACTGCTAATCTTTTTCTTCTTTAATTTAAATTAAACTCATTATTTAAAAACACATAAGTGCATGCCTAGAAGGAAGCTTTCAGGAAAAAGTTGTCAATGGACTAGTGTTGCTTAAAAATTACATTGGCTTTGTGTAGAAAATTTAAATTCAGTTCAAAAAACCACAAAAGCCTAATAGAAACCTACTTTGACTAAAATAAATACAATTTATTACACTCTAAACAAAATAATTGTACCTTTAAAAATGTACTGATTTAAACTCATTTGATTTTTTAGCCTCAAACTTATTCCCCTTTCCAAGCAGCAAACAGTAATAGGTGTGTAAGAATTCCTTTTGAAGTTAATACTTTCCTGGTAAATTATCATCCAGCATAAACCTGAGGCTGCAGTGGTGGGGGCAATTTGTCATTCTCTACGTTTTCAGAGTCAATAGCTGCTAAGGGTTGATTTTTTGGATTTATTTCCAATGGATATTTTTCAACAATATCTTGGACTTCCTTAGTAATTCCGTCAGTCCAATCTATAAGGTCTTTCTCAAGCTTCTTGGCTTCACTGACAATTCTTTCCTGTCTCTCATTCAATTGAGAGAGGAGGTCTAAGTTTTTATACATCTGTTTAACACCTAGGCACACATCAGATGACCAGTTTTCAGATTCTTGTTTCTTTGGAGACGTTTGGCCCGACATGTAGCGATCAAAATCCTCCTGGCTTAGATTTAAAGATTGAGCGTCCAGCTTTTCAATGAAGGCCACAGCACAGCACTACACATAGAACAGAGAGAGTGTGTCATTGCAGGGTACATGATGCAAGTCATAGCCCATAACAACAAGTGTTCTGCATTTTAATCGTGCTGTTATATAAACAATATGGTGGTTGCTTTAATGGTTCAATAGATCACCTGACAGCAAATTCCTGCTCTCCTGAAAAGCCTCTCAGCGTAGCCTGGTTAAAAAAAAGCAGTTCACAAAAAATAAAAATAACTAACATTTTAAGAAACTGCAGAACACCACTCAGATCAGGTCATCTTGGCTGTACAAAGCAATTGTGTGCTGACTGAATGAGGAAGTTCCATTGCAAACTATGGGGTCACTGCATTTTGAAAAAGAACAGTAAGTGAAAGAATGAAAAGACAAAGTTGACAGCAGCATGTTTAATTTAGCCTTTATACTATGTGCATTTGTTTTAGTTATGTACCGAGCATAATTTCATGCTACACTATCTAATCTGTTTCTAAAAACGTAAATGGGAGGAATGCATCTTAGTTTGAAGTGTTCTCCTTCTGAAAGCATTATTTAGAATAAACATTGAAGTATTTCATATTAAGAACAAAATCATTTTTCTCGTAGAAGTGTTACATATGCAAATTCCGGGGTATCCAAGTTCATAGTTTTGTTCAGCCAAAAACACACATGCCTGCCCTGTTCTAGGGATACTTCCACAGGACTGTCCCTCTCTATCAATGACTTGATCCTGCAGGCCTTTCACATGATGAACTCCCACCGACGCAAATGGCAACTGTGCATGCACAAGCGCTGCATAATTGAGCCTCAACAGATTTTGAATAGCTGGTAGTCAGTCAACCTTCTCAAAACTGTTACAAGTTAATGGTTCTTCATCTGTTATATCTTTAATGCCTGATCCTTGAGGTTAACATAAATCAAGTGGTAGCTGAACTTTCACTTTTCTTACAAAATAAAAGCTTGCCCAGGTCTGAACAAGCAGAACACTGGTCAGAATCAAAGGCCTGAACTGGTTAAAGAAGTGGCTATGAAACCAGAGCACTGTTTGGTTCATCTAACTTAGAAGAGATGAGGAAAGAAGAAGAAATGAAAAGTGAAAGGGAGTGCGCTCCAGCCTGAACAGCAATACACTGTTTCATAAGAATACTTTCACATTATCTTGTGACTCCATTTTCTGCTTCCTTCAGTATTAAGACATTCACCTTTGCTGGGAATGCCTTGATCAAACAGCAGATGATCATATTGTATAGAGCATCAACACTGTTCTTGAACTTACCAGATTGGTAAAATAGTAGCCATCCTCTCCAGTCATTAACCTGCTTGGATTACAGAAGCGGGTTATATACTGGATGTTGGACTGCAGACGGGGTGGGTTTCCCTTCAAAACAATATATATGAGTGTTGGTAAGAAGTCATCAGCAGAAGCTGGTTCGTTTTTTGTGATTTTTATAGCGTTGAAGATATGTTTGCTGCATTGGGTGATGCATGCTAATTTATCACGAGGGACACGTTTTGAATCCATTTCGATAATATCTGTAAGATAAAAACCCTATATAGTTAGATCTCCAGTCATCAGAAGCCCACACTAGTGAATCCATATGTAAAGGGTGACCCACTGGATTGCTATCAGATTGCACTATTTGTGTTTAATTTACTCTACTTGATGCTGTATGAAAACTAAGTATTAATATGCCTCCCACTTCAACCTAGTTCCTGAGTAAACATGGCTGGATTTATTCTCACAACACTTCCATGAGGTAAGGAAATATTATTCCCATTTTATAGGTGGGAAACTTGCCCAACATCACCCAATTAGTCTGTGGCAGATCCAAAAACTGAACCCATTTCTTGAAAAGCAGAACTAAGAGTTTTGTTTGATCTCAATAGTTGACAAAGTAAACAGTACAAATATTAGGATTCACAAAGGAATGATGACAGATATGCTCCAAGGTCCTGATTCAGCATGGTAGCTAAGCACCTCAATCTTACCAATCACAACCTTATCAATGAGACTACTCTCATGCTTAAAGTTAAGCATGGGTTTAAGTGCTTTGCTGAATTGGGGCCTAAGTGAGGCATATCTACCCCTAAAGATACCAGTGAAACAAATGCGAGTTACAGAAGCAAGATTTTTCCAAAGCGTTTCTGCAGAGGAATGAATTTATGTATATAATATTCACGATTGTAGACACTTGTTTAAAGCAGGAAATATAGTCTCTATGAAAAAGTAGGTGTTTGTACTTTTTACTTCTTCAAATAGTTAATTTAGAGAAGATAAGCTAGTTTATAGTTCACAAACCTGTAATTGCTTTCACAACCATATCGGAGACTTCTGAAATTTCTTCATTAACAGGAACACACAGCATTTGTGGAGTTACCCAGTGTAAAGCCCTATCAAGAGAAACAAATGAAAACACACATCACCCATAGCGGTGAAGTTGTCTGAGGTCAGCTGCAAAGGTTAACAGTATGCTAACAGCTTCTTTAATTAAGCGATCATATGAGGAGCCTTCTGTTTGGCAAGGCAAGCACTTCAACCCACTAAGGAAACTAGATTACTGCCCAGAAAAATATTTATATTATAATTAATATGCTACGAGTGCATGATTATTTTAAATGAAATAAGGCAGCGTAGTCATTTCCATTACCTTAACAAAAAGCTATAAAAGAATTAATCCAAAACCTGGTCTTCAGTTAATAGATTAATGCCACTCTTGGGCACAGATTTCTGCATGCTAGTTTCGGCATAAGTGGCATAGACACCACTCATGCGATTTTGGACTTCTAGATGATTTCTCTTCAGAAATCCTTACCTGATTCTCTTTTGGACAACCAGATCTTTCTTCTCATCATCAGTTGTTTCGGGGCAGAACACATATTTATACAATCGAGTCATGATATATTTTTCAATCTGGTCCATTGTTTTCTCAACTTTTTCTGGGGAAACTGAAAGATACAAACCCATCCCCCAAACGTAGTAAATTAGATGGTTTATGGAACCATAGGATTGTTTGTGAAGACTTAATGCCAGTTGGCCACAATAACCACTGAGTCAGCACAGGTCTGAGTTATTCTCTTCTACTGCTCAAGTCAAATGTGAGTTAAACAATAGGTACTAATGTACCGAATCTAGTGCTTTTCAGAAGTAAAGAATAATACAATAATAAGGAGCGAGTGTGGATGCTCTGAGATAACCATATGTCTAGGGCCACGCAAGGCATGAAGCTGAAGATCAAACAGGTTCCTAGCTCCAAAGGGGTTTAATATCTAGGTTAAAAAAAATTACTTAAATCCCTGAACGGATATGCTCCTTGGCACAGTTTACAATGTGGAGACGTTTAATATACTTTGCTTTCAACTTTGGAGTTTCTGCCTCTCAGGAACCAAAAGGAAAGTGGGCTTGTTTCAAGGGTCAGAATAGTCATGCCTGTACAGTCAGATTTATACTCACTGTGGACAAGCTTGAGAGAGACAGAAGTGGACTGAGAAATATTACTCTGCACTATGAATTTTAATTTTGGTTCTGCTGCTATGCATTTTATAGTATGAAATATCTGAGCTAGAGGCCTTTTGAACTTACTACGCACTTCCATGCACACGTAACTACCCCTAGAGGCAAGAAGGCTTAAAGTTTTTGAGAATAATTACAGTAAGGTACGTGCCACTCAAAATACACTCACTGTGATACTTCCCATTCCAAGTTTAGGGAATACATCAAATACTGGATAAATAGATAGATTACATACAAATAATACAAGTTAAATTGCAGAACAGTTTAAAGAAAGATGAAAGCATAGGTATGAAAAAATAGAAAATTAAAAAGGACTGAATATACCAGTTTAAAAACAGCAACTATTTAGTGGTTGTTTTTTGTTGTTGTTGTTTTTTTAAGTTATGGCCCAACAAATGTTTTCTGAACTGAACTATTACTTGGCAGGGTTTCTTTAAAATATTTAAATACCCTCTGACAATTAATTTAGATGGCAAAACTTTACAGAATCTTAAATACAGTGATGTTACTTGGAATAGCTCTAATTAGAGTGTTTACTATTAAAAAGTAACAATGTCACATAGGGAGGGAGGGAGGGAGAGAGAGAACATGAGAAATTCAGGAGATGCAAGTGGCCTAAACATTATACTGTTTCAATGATAAGGTGTGAGAGAAAGAAGAATCTGATACCTTTTGAACGGGTCTGTAATTTCTCTCCTATGTTTTGATAGAAGTCCTGGGCACATTCAGATTGTTCCTCAATACTTAATTCCTAGGACAGAACACTGATATTAAGTGAAAAAACAGCATGGTGCCACACAAACGGTAAATGGCATAGAAGTAGTCATGTACCTATGCTTTCATGGAAAATATCTAACAGCAGCAAGAGTTCTACAGAACACAGATTTATTTGAACCATGAAACAGGACAAATTATCTTCTTGGTATTGTGATTTGAAGACCATGTTTATTTGTTCTGCTCAATGCCACAAACACGAATGGGTGGAATGATGGAGCTGTATTTAAAGTATGGGGCTGGGCACTGCAACAGGCTTCCTGTGTGACCCGGAAAAAGTCACAATCTTTTCATGCTTCAATTTTCTCATTTGTAAAATGGAAACAGAGTTTGTTAACCTAAGAGAGAAGTTGCGACACTTAATTTGTTAACATTTTTAAAGCAATTTGAAATGGAGGCACTATAAAAGTGCAAAGTGCTGTTACTACTGACAATGGCAGTAACCATTGGAACACAAAGATTAATTTCTAATGTTGGACCATGATTCAGCAAGCCATTTCTATTCAGCAAAGCATTTAAGCACTTGTTTAGCTTTTAAGCATGTCCTTAAGTCTCATTTAAGTCAATGGAACTTAAGCATGCGCTCACATGTGTGTGCACAGAAAGAGCAACCTGTGCTGTAAGAAGGTAATAAGTATTACTTGGAGGGAAAACTTCATGACAGAACCATTTACACAGGTAGTGACAGAGAAGCAGTCTTCCTCAGCTGATGACCAATTCCTAGAGCTTCAGTGGTGTTTGTACAAGCACACAAGCAAACTGGCAACAGAAAGCTGAGGGTGGCCTCAGTTTTCAAAGGAGCAAAAGCAATGATTTATATTTTGGAATGACAAAAGGAATAATTTTAACATTTTAAAGTTCCATGAGCCTTAAAAGCATTTTATACTTAACTTTATTTTCTATTAAAGTAAGAGACAGGTTCACAAATCTTCTGATTTTTCTATGACTTATAAATGAGAGAAAGGGAGGGGGACTGTAATGAAAATGGTGACAATCTGAAATTCCAGTTAATTTTCAGGTTGCCATTTGTATTGCTATAGTTGAAACACAAGAAAATAGTATTAACAGTAGATACTCAATGTTTAATGCCCTTCATTTAAAAAAAAAATCCCAGATTTTATAAAAACTATTGTTTTTCTTATCCATTTTCCCCAAATTTTGGACTACACAAAAATACTGATTATCTTGAGAAAATCCAATACTGCATTTATGTTAATAAATTAGTCCAGTGTAATGGAATATATGCATACACATGCTTGTGTAAGTGTATGTACTGCTAATATATAGTACATGAAATAAACCACAGCATTAAACTGTGCTTACATTCAGTACTCTTACTTTTCTCTATTTGTTGCTTTTTCTGTCCTCCTGTCCCCCAATATTTACCCAGAAAACTGTGAAGTTATTTTTTGCACCTTTTTTTAAGCTTTCAAATTTTACAGTAAGCACCAATAAATTCTTGAGAAACTTCAAACAAAATAAAAACCAAAACTGAAGGGCCTTATGAATGCTGTATCATTTCAACCCTAGGTGGCACTACAGCCACATCAATATTTCAATGCAGAACTGACAATATAGCTTTTTGTATAAAGCCGGGGTAGGCAACCGGCCGCACACGTGCCGAAGGCGGCACGTGAGCTGATTTTCAGTGGCACTCACAATGCCGGGGTCCTGGCCACCGGTCCAGGGGGCTCTGCATTTTAATTTAATTTTAAATGAAGGTTCTTAAACATTTTAAAAACCTTATTTACTTTACATACAACAGTAGTTTAGTTATATATTATAGACTTCTAGAAAGAGACCTTCTAAAAACATTAAAATGTATTACTGGCATGCGAAACCTTAAATTAGAGTGAATAAATGAAGACTCGGCACACCACTTCTGAAAGGTTGCAGACCCCTTGTATAAAGGATTAAAATCTTTTGTTTCTGCCTAAGTCACTCATTTTTAATGTGTGTCACTTATATAATGCATGTGATATACCTACCCTTTTGTGATGCATTGCTTCCAAAAACATTTTGCACTGCTTATAAATTTCTTGACCAGATTTATGATAGGTCTTGAGAAACTCTATAAACTCCTTGGACGCTCGATCTGTCTCAATGCTGACCTGCCTGTTTATTGAAGGGCTAGGAGCCTTAGCTTCATGAATCTCCGCTGGGAAAATTAGAAACAATTAGAGATTAATTGTACTAATCAGTTAATGTATCAGATTTAAAAAATTACAGCAAGACAAACCTAATTTAAACTTTTATACGTAAAGATGAATTTTTCTTTTCTGAAGAAAGCAGGATTAAATAGTGACACGTTGACCCACCAAAGGCAACTGCTTATTAAGCTAACATTCACAAATATTTAAAGCCAGATTCTCATTTACATTAATGACCCTTTACATTAATTTTGACAGTATAAAGGAGACAACGTCGGTGCAAGTTACAGTTACATGCTCACTTGAAAACCCCTTTATATTGCCAGAGCAGTGTTAGTGTAAGTGAGAATCTGGCTTTAATGTTTGACTCAGAGCAGAAACACCAAATATGCTCCAGTTTTCCACATGGAGCTCAACAACAGATGGGAAATACCCGACCCTTTGTTTAGTGGGATTTGTTTCAGTCGTGGATGCAAGTTTACAAAGCTGGAAATGTATACATTAACATGGGGTTTCCACACATCTCTCTTCTGGAAACATGTACTTCAGAAAATATTGGTTGCATTTGACAAGACATACAAAACTTGATAGGATCTTCTCTACCCAAGTTTAGCACACCCACCTCTCAGTCTGCCAGCCAACACTGTCAAAATGAATGATTGAATGTAAGATGAGGTAAATGAACATGATGAAAAGCGAGAAGCAAAGAGACAGAAAAAACATGAAAATATTCTTAATAAGCAGATCTTCAACGCAAACAAGCCCATTTATGACATGCAGAACAAGAGAATGCACTGTCTCAGTAGCCATACATGCAGGACTTCAAAAAAACCAAAGATTTCCTTTAAATAAGAGGAAAATAATTTGTCCATTAAGTTAATATATTTAATTTTGTTTCTTACTCAATAGGATTTTTATAGGCTCAACACTATGTCAGATTCATCTCTCATGTTTAACTTCACATATTTCAATGGAGTTGTACACCAGGGATGAATTTGACCAGCAATGTTTAAGAGAGAGACTCTTCAAGGGCGTCTCAATTAGCAATATAGTCTTCTCTTGATGGAAATCAGTATAGACACTATTAGCAGTAACGCAGTTACAGTAACTCCACACTTAATGTCGTCCCAGTTAATGTTGTTTCATTATGTTGCTGATCAGTTAGAACATGCTCGTTTAAAGTTGTGAAATGCTCCCTTATAACATTGTTTGGCAGCCGCCTGCTTTGTCCACTACTTGCAGAAAGAGAGGCCTGTTGGAGCTAGCTGGTGGGGGCTTGGAATCAGGATGCACCGGCAGCCCCCCTATCAGCTCCCCCAAGTTCCCTGTGTGGCAGCCACCCAGCAGGCTATCAATTGCCGGGCAGTTCAGCTGTCCCTCCTCCCACTGCCGTGTGCTGTTCCTGCCCTCTGCCTTGGAGCTGCTCCGGGGAGCCTCCTGCTTGCTGTGCGGGGGAAGGGAAGAGGGGTGATAAGTCAGGGCGTCCCGCCTTTACATCTCCACAGAGCGGGGGGGAGGGTACGGGGGGAACACCACAGAGCTCAGGATGGAGGGAGCTTGCTGGCAGCAGCTGCTGTCTCAGCTTGCTGATCTACTTAAAAAGGCAGTGTACTTAGAGTGGGGTCAGTGTACTTAATGGGGAATGTGCATCGCGCACACACACACAGTGTCTCTGTCTCTCTGCCATGCTGTCTCCCCTCCTTCCATTCGTGCTGCCTTGTAGAGTGTGAGGCTACGTTAACAACATGTTAACCCTTGAGGGCTCCGCCGGGTGCTAGTTCATCATTTAGCAGTAAGGCAGTTAGTGTAAGTATTAAATTGTTTGTTTAAAACCTATACTGTGCATATGTAAAGTTTCCCTGGAACCTAACCCCCGCCCTATTTACATTAATTCTTATGGGGAAATTGGATTTGCTTAACATCGTTTCGCTTAAAGTAGCATTTTTCAGGAACATAACTTCAACATTAAGCGAGGAGTTACTGTACCAGTATGTGTTAAAATTTTACTCCTTATAAGCCATATAAATAGAAGTATTTGAATTCTATCAGTTAAGATCAATATTGCTAAAGCAAATCCATTCATTTCTATTTATACCCAAAGGTTGTTGTTTAAGTATAAAGAGGAATTTAAAAAAATTCTGAAGATCCAAAGCAGAGATTTTTGTGCAGTATGCAAGAATGGAGTCTACTTAGTAATTTGAATACTACTCAAATGCAATTTAGTAGATTACCATGACAGAGTAAATAATTTACTAAATTCAGTATCATATAACTAGTTGGTTAAGAATATGCACTTTATAAAATACAATTAAAAAGAAAAAAGCTCCAATTTTGAAAGAGTATTCACTCAATTATATCAAATAATTTTATAATAATGTATTTTAATTCACCATTAAATCAATGTGGAGTATTAACTAATTGGTTTCCTTCTGTATTCAAATTTATCAGCATGAAGTTTTATCATCCATCTATTCGTATGACATTTGGCTGATTAGATATCCCTAAAAAGCCTCATCCTGCTGTTTCTAGTTTTTGTTTAAGGACTACAAAAGCTCTGTTTAGAAAGCTTCATGAGAGACACTTTCAGCTTAGTAAAGGTAAAATATTAATAGCCTCCATCCCGATACAGTTACTACAGACATGACTACAAAATTTGAGAGCTGTTTTCATTTGCTCTCTAATTTAAAATAACTTTACTCTTTAATAGTCACAGCACCCAAATTTGTAATAATTTAATATGAATCAGCGAAGTTGCCATTTTATTTGATACTACTGTCTACACAGAAATTTTGGCTTAAGACATGTAAAGCAGCATACTGTGTATTGCTCACTACATTCTGTAAGATATGTGATTTCAGTGATACACTTTACTACACTTATTCCATAGTAAGTGAGCATGCATATTTACTGATAATTTAATCACAGAAAAGGAATAAAGCCCATTTGAGCAGGTTAGGAAGAGGCTGCAAGAGGAGATGTATCAACGCAATACAAAAAACAGAAGTGTGGGGATTTAAGGATCATTTTTACAAGGAGGATAAACATCATTTACATGAAGATCTCCTTTTTCTTTCATTTCTATGTGGCAATTGGGTGCCATAGCAGAACATTAGCATTACAGCTGCTTCACACTACGGCTGTGCCATTACTTGGACTAAAGTCAATGAATAAGAATATGAAAAAAAAAGTATTTTCTAGTACTCCCCAAAAAAATCCCCAAACGTGTATATACCCGATATATTCTGTAAAATAAATAAACTTTGCAATTTAGAATTTCTTTAGAGACCAGAACATCAGAATGTCAAACAATATACTATGGCTAAGATTTTGGACAAGATCCTAGAGCAGTTACTTTGTCAATTTTGTTATAATTCAACTCAGATGATAAAAAAGTGGCTTCTCTCAAAACATAAAATTGCTTTCCCCTGATTTATGTAACTATGGCCTGAAGACACATTTTGAGAATTTACTGGGTATAATTCAAACAAATTTACACAAACTAAAGTCCCATTTCTAGCATAGTTATTTTTAGTGCAGCATTTTAGAGGCTTTTTTTAAATAAAGATGAACAAGCATACAGACTCATTCACTATTTTTAGAAAGCGGAAATTTGTTTTCTTTTATAGTTTGATTCCTGAAGTATTGTGCAAGGAAACAAATCTCTTCTAAGAAATTTGAGTTTCATTTTTTCCCTCTTAAAGGCAACTTGTTGGTTCAAAGTTCACTTATCATAAACTAGCTTTAGAACGTACATAATGATTTCAAGCATTGCCTTTCTTGTCATCATCATCATATTCAATGGCCTAAGTTATAGCTGGCACAACCCTAGTTTGGATTTTGCAAAGCCCAACTAAATAAACTTACTAGAACAAGCAGACAGCTCTCCAAGCTGTGCTGTGTTACCTTCAGTAGGGGAAGCCAGCTCCCAGGAGGGAGTAAAAATCTCCTTCAAGTCCCTGAGAATGTTATCAGCATTTCGCTCCCTCCCAAGCTGTCCTTGCTTAAGGTTTCTCTCTTGAGCAGCTGGAATAAATGCAAAAGCAAGCAAGACACCAAGAGCAAGAGTATCAAGTGGTAAGGAGAACAGGACTCCCCCCCCCCCCAAAAAAAAAAAAAACGAAAGAAAGAAAGAAAGGGAAGAACATAGGAATGAGAAGAATGAATGTTACTATTCTGGATCAGGGACAAGGAGTTAAGACAGCAGGGATTGGAGATGCTTTTGTGTTTAACCAGGTGGCATTCATGCACTGAGAGGCGGACACTCCAAAGTGAAAGCAAAGTATATTTCACTTCTTATCCTAAGGAAATATGCAGTGTGTCTACAAAACTGAGACCCAGCACAATGTCACCTTTCCTTTATAGGAAAATATACTCCATGCCTTTTGGAGTTCCTCCTCAAGAGTCAAGTTCTCTATCAGCCATTTGTCCAAGCCAAAGCACACAATCACATAATTAGTTAGTTTCTTTTTTTAAGTTATTGCTATGCAAAGACAATGATGCAATTTTTCTTCTCTTTCAACACTCTACAATGGATAACAAATATTTAGTGAAGAACAAACTTTGTATTGCTCCAGAAACTCCCTTTGTTTTTTTAAAACAATGTTTATTCATGTTATTTTTCTTAAATGGGTTACACCATCCTAATTTTCCTTACCACATGTTCTGAAAACTTCAGATAATTTTGTGTTGCTTACTGCTTCAAAAGTGCACTTCCACAACATTTAGACATCTGTTTATTGAATATTACTAAAACTCAGGATTTTATAATCTATTATTATTCATAGAGTATTCCCCTACAATTCCTAAACCATGCCATTATCACATTGAAAATGTAGCTGACCCTTGGTTCCAACAAAAACCCGTGTCACAGGAGCCACAGGACCCTTCCACACAGCTATTTCCAATAAGGTTGTGATAGAACTTCAGGCTGGAAGCATTTTTGAAGAATAAGGTTCCTGTAAACTTTCTCCTTTAACATGAGTTGGAATCATCCCACTTTCAACATTACTTCTAAACAGTAAATTGTCCACTAATTTAAAAACTCATCATGTTTCTGAAAAAAACCCAAGCCTATACATAGTCAAAAGGATACCCATGTCCATATGCATCTTTATTGAAAAGATTTTGAGGAGAGTGAATGCTTGCCAGAAACCATCGTTACTCCAGCCATTTCAAATATATGCTTCATTCAGTCCCTGCATTTAGCCCATTTTTTAAAGTTTAGTTTTAAATTGCATTTTCTATTAGTCTGGCTATTGTGGACATTAAGCACATACTGCTAACATAAAGTTAGTTTTGTTAAATGATTTGAAAGTCACTTTTAATACGGCTAAGTCTCAAAATGAATGTTTGGGTGAAGAGGCTGTTGTCCTGTGCAAGAAGGAATTTATTACACTGGTTTACCAATATGTACATTTGCTCGTTACACCGCTACTGGAGCCTACATTTGTCAAGGTGCTCGCATTAAAGTTTATCATAGCTGTTCCCTGCAAGTGCTGGTCATTGTTTGCTTTTGCTCTGATAAAGTAAATCACTTTGCTAGAAGTGTACCATGGTACCATCTAAGGTTACCTTTTATGACTCCTGGCAGTTAACTAGTAACTTTATTTACATCATTACAACATTAGTAATATTAGGGCTTCTGGGTTTTTTTAAGGTTTGTTTCATTTTTAGCAATTTTTGAGTTTTATGTACATATCCAAAAATCAGGGTTTTTCAGAGCTCTTTTGCACATACTGTATGTAATGAGTACACCTCTACCCCGATATAACGCTGTCCTTGGGAGCCAAAAAATCTTACCTCGTTATAGGTGAAACCGGCGGCTCAAAGCACGTTTGATATAATGCGGAGCACACAGCGCCCCCCCAACCCCGAGCACTGCTTTACCGCGTTATATCCGAATTTGTGTTATATCGGGTGGCGTTATATCGGGGTAGAGGTGTAATGTAAATCAGACATTACCCATTACAGTATATACTACTGTAGTCTTTGTAATGTTTCCTAATGTTTTAACATAGTTCTTTTTCCAGCAGAGCTACCTTAAGGTGTAGTAGGGAATCTTTATTGTGCACCAGCAGCGTCTACATGGTTAGTGCATTTTAGAAATCACATCCCTGTTTTCCGCATTACTGCTCTGTGTAGACAAGCCCTTAGATAAAAATATCTTTTTTGTGGGTGTCAGGAGTGTTTTATTTGTGTTTATCAACAAACTGAAAATCAGAAGCCCTAATTAATATTTATATGACTTCAGATGCTCCTCAGTATAGTTTGTTACATAAAACATATGTAAAGAAGCCTCAGTAACATTTTATAGGATTATTCATAGTGACTTTGACAAAGCAAGCCAGAAAGAATACGAAGGTTCCTCATACTCAAGATAAAAAACACAAGAGGTTCAGCTGCAAACTTCCTTAGCACAGCTTTGTATTCATAGGATCTTTTACAAACAGTGACACCAGGAGAAAATTCCATTTGCTTTGTTTCAGGGATATATTAACGCAAGAAGCGGTGACGGGAACAAAGGTCCAAAGGTCTTCTGAACAGTTTCTAATGTCAGCCCCCTGGCCTCTATTGGGAATTGTCATAAGAATGGGTTACATATCTAGCTGATACTTGTGATGACTTGGCTGGCCTCAGCTTTGTTTGAATGAGTGGAGTGTTGCTCTTAATTTGTTAAGTGAACTTGCTTACACTGCTGCTGTACAGGACAAAGGGAATGTTTTGAGCACAGGATGGGCTTAAATTGGAGGACAACAGATACACAAAATGTGCTGCTAAGAGGCAATTAGAGAAATAGTCCCTAATATCAGGTAAAGTGACCTGGTCAAAGTAGGCATGGTCAGTGGTAATAACCCAATTAGAAAAGAGAAATAACATGAAAATAGCATGGGCAGCAAAAGTCCTGCAAATTGAAGCTTACACATGCATACTGTATGAGTTGCATAAGATACATAATATTATAATACTTAATGGTGATTGGGAAAGAACTAACAAATATGTAATTTGGATGTGTATAAGTGTCTTAAAATGTGAGAGGATAGTTGGAACTTCATTGGGGAAACCCATCATGAGTGACTTATACCCCAGGAGAAGGCAACTGGCCATTATCTTTTTCTGTATGTCTGTCATGTCTTGCTTCAATAGTAATTATCATCGCAAGAAAAGCTTCAAATAAAGGTTTGAACTAATAAACATGAGTGTCTCGGATGCAAGCGTGTGGCACCCTCACCCAACACCTTTAGGAAGGCAGGTAACTCATTTTCTGTTAACTAGTCTAAGCTTCTTGGGATGGGACACCCAACGTGGCCAAATTACATGGAGTATATTGTAAAGAGAACCACCGCTCATTTAGACCCAGTGGTTTTCAACCTGCGATTTCCAAAGGGGTCCATACCTTCATTCAAAAATTTTTAGGGGTCCACAAATGAAAATAGGTTGAAAACCACTAATTTAGACTAACCCAAGACCAGCAAAACTTGTTTTAATTGAGTTAATCACAGGTATGCACTGTCTACAGACCCTATAATTTCAAGTCCCTTTCACACCTTTTTTTAGTGGCAAATAGTTTGGGAAGACTGAAAACTATTCACACATAACTCTTGTCAATAGTGTAAAGTGATCCAGGAGTTCCATCAATACAGAGTCAGCCATGGTATTATGATTTTCCCTTGTATGCTGATCAGAGGAACTACTAACAACTCAGTGGGAATTCAGGTTTTAGAGGCTTTATTTGTGCATACGGTTTGTAAAGCACCTCAAAGAAAACAGCATGGGAGTTCTGGAAAACAGTGGAGTAGATTCAAAACAGTAGTTTTATCTGTATTGTTTCTAAGACTGGAGATGACTATGACCTTGTAACTATATAAATATAGGATGGAGGTCCATATACAAAGTGGTTATTGGCTTATATTTGGTAAACCATTATACACAGCCTTCTAAAAATTCATAAAGGGATATATTATACAGTAATGGTTAAAGAAATATAAGAATTACCCTTCTTAGCTCCTGTCCTGGAAGACGCACTGAAGAATTTCTTCACAGTTGTCACCTTGCGTGTCTTTTCATTGGTTTTCTTTTCCTCAAACTTGGAAAAGGTGAGCGACTGTGCCCCTTGTGTACTCTGACTACTAGCATAGGCTTCTTCCTCCTCACGCTGAAGTCTAAAATTAAAAGAATTTGGGACTGTTTAGTTAGTTAGCACCAACAAAAATTAGCGTGCATTGACAAATCCACTACCCTTTCTGTCGCCCCAGACCTGTTCTCCTCCGTCACCCCCATATCAACTCTTCTTCCAAGCATCACTTCCTTGTTATTATATAAATCTCTCCTTTCCTCGCGGTCAACACAGTAAAAACCTTTGTCCTTTCACCTTCATTGTAGCTCTTCAAGGCAGGGATTGTGTTTTATCTGTGTCTTAAAGCATATTGTATTTACTATTCTAAACATTTTAATCATAATCATAAAGAGCTTATCTGCTGCTTCCACATCCCCAGTGAAAAGTTATCACTTCGTAAAAGGATTTCTTACAGGCCCAACACCATGGTACTTGGACAATTACAAAAATACCACCACCCTTATTACCTGCCCCCTCTAGAGGTTATAAATTTGTTTTGGTCTATACCAAACTTGGTGACAGACAGTGAACCGCAGCCACTGGGAGCTGCGGGAAGCCATGCCTGTGGACGGTCGATGTAAACAAACTGTCTCGTGGCCCGCCAGTGGATTACCCTGACGGGCCTCAGGTTGCACACCACCGAGTTAGGGTATGTCTACATGAGGTTTTCTGAGTTTTTTTTTAAACTTGAATTAACTGATTGTCAGTTAACTTGAGTTAGCTAATCGGTGTCTACATTCTAGCTTGGACATTCCAAAGATGTTTGAGATTTATTCAGGATTGAGTTCTCGGATCTGCCATAAACGTTCATATGCTGGAACCAATGTTTGTGGAGTAGCAAATGCAAGTTAACTGGCAATCAACTAAAGTTAAAAAAAAAAAAAAAAAAAACTTAACAGTGTAGACAAACCCTTAACGACAGATGTGGCTACATTCTCCACTAGCTGAATCATGCACGCAACCTTCAAGGGTAAACTTTAGCATTATAGTATTGCAGCCTGCAAGTAATGGAGGCATGGATAATTGTGGTGCAACATGCATTGGAAATCACAGTTGGACATTTCCAGGCCAGCTGAAGATAGCAGAAGTTACTAAAATGCCATTTATTGAATGGGCATAAAGCAAAAACATCTTCTCACCCGTAATGTAAAAAAACAAATCTTTGTTGCTAGGCTTGACTACACATGAAATCTGATCTGGAATAAGGTAGGATGTGCATTTAAAACAGATTAACTATTTCTGCTTATTCCAGAATAAGGGTACATCCACACTACCCGCCTGATCGGCAGGTAGCGATCTATCCATCGGGGATCGATTTATCGAGATGCGATAAATCGATCCCCAAACGCGGTCCCCATCGACCCCAGAACTCCACCAGAGCGAGAGGCGGAAGCGGAGTCGACGGGGGAGCCGTGGCCATTGATCCCCCGCTGTGAGGACAGGAGGTAAGTCGATCTAAGATACGTCGACTTCAGCTACGCTATTTTCATAGCTGAAGTTGCATATCTTAGATCGATCCTCCCCCTAGTGTAGACCAGACCTAAGAGTGTCCAATATGGAGTTCAACAGAAATAGCTAATCAGGAATAGCTCCCCAGGGTAGACAAGCCTATATTAAAGAAACAAGACTTACTTTTGCCAACTTTGCTTATAAAGTAACTAAAGTATTTAAAACTGAAACTTCGTATTAATTATTGGCTAAAACCAAGATGCTGATGACTATGTTTCACAGTAGAGGAACTATGAATTTCAGGTAATGCTGAAAATGGTGGTGGCATTTTTAATACTTGCTACTGCCAGGACAAACATATTAGCTGAGAGGTATAATCAGCTATAATGTATTTAATCAGCATCTGAGAAAAAAGGCTGAAATAAAATGGTCCTAAAAAGAGTTTGTACACTGCCAAGTATTAGTTATGGAATTCCAGACTTTGTCATGTAGATTATGCAGAATATTTAAGGACAGCAAAACAAAAGCCCAATAGTCACCACATAGCAATGCTCTTTTGAAGTGATTTTTTATGCAAAAATGTCACAAATTACAAATTTCTTCCTTGGCATCAGAAATTTGATTCTGTCTCCTCCTGCAAAGCCCATGGCAACTGAAGGCAACAAGGGTAAAAAGGACTATAAATAAAAGATGGCCATACTGTTTGGCAAAGCCATCTGACTGCAAGGGATGAAGGAATAAAGAGGCATCTTTACCGCTCGGCCAGCTCCCAGTCATCCTGAATCTGTTTCTGCCTTGCCTTATGGTACTCTTCTCTCCAGCACTTGGAGCAGAAGCCCTGCCAAGCAGGGTTTCCATAGTAACCACATCCTTTCTTGCACAGTAGCTCTGACTGATCAACGTGAATTCCTCTGCGTTCAGACTTTAGGCTCATTTCTTCCTGTTTAAAGAGAAAAGGGTTAAAGAACAGAAGAGAAACTTGTTGACAGATGTTAAGGAAATCCAGTGAAAATACTTTGATAAAGAAGTATAAATATTTTGAAAAGTCCATTCGTCTTATAGAGAGAAGCTACCCTCTCTCTAATTATTGAATAATTCAAGTAGTAAAAACACAAAGGCTAGAGAAGCCAGGGCAATTTTCACTAGTTAGAACACCCACATCTGATGGTTATACAATCATACAGTACCAGAACAGTCACAGGATGAATATAAATGTGTACAGCTTTTGTCAATGTAAAGTGCTACGTACAGGTCAACTATTAATACAGGAGATCTGATTCTTCACTGTCTTGCACCTTGTGTAGTCACACAGCTCTGAAAAAAACGTAAAAGGCTACGAAAGCAGAACAGTCCACTCTCACCAGGGTAGTATGTGGGTAGGAGTGATTACACAATGTGCAAGCCAGTAGAACGTCAAACACAGTAAAATACATGGGTCCTTAATGAACAGATACAAGATGTATTTGTATTTACTAGATTTCTATTTAGGATCTAACCGTCTCTGAAGAAGTCAAACTAATAAGTAGGGCCCTACCAAATTCACAGCCAAGAAAAATGCGTCACGGACCGTAAAATCTGGTCTTTTATGTGTTTTTACCCTATACTGTACAGATTTCATGGGGAGACCAGCATTTCTCAAATTGGGGGTCCTGAACCAAAAGAGAGTTGGTTGGCTGCAAGATTATTGGGGAGGGGCCTTGGTATTGCCATCCTTACTTCTGACCTGCTGCCTTCAGAGCTGAGTGGCTGCTGACTGAGGGCCAGCTCTGCAGGCAGCAACACAGAAGCAAGGGTGGCAATACCATACCATGCCAACCTTCTGCGGGGTGCTGCTGGTGGTGGCTCTGCCTTCAGAGCTGGGCCCCTGACCAGCAGCTGCTGCTCTCCAGATTCCCAGCTCTGAAGGCAGCACCACTGCCAGCAGCAGCACAGAAGTAAGGGATGCAGTACCGCAACCTCCCCAATGATAACCTTGTAACCCCCTCGCCAACTCCTTTCTGGATCAGGACCCCTACAATTACAACATTGTGAAATTTCAGATTTAAATAGCTGAAATAATGAAATTTATGATTTTTAAAATCCTAGGACCATGAAATTGACCAAACTGGACCCTGAATTTGGTAGGGCCCTACTAAGAAGACACATCACAGATCCAATATTCTCAACCATTTTAGCATGGAGTAAGTAAGACAATATTTCTGTTGAACAGATTTACAACCATCTAACACTGATCCAAGAGTTTAATAAGCAACCAGATCCCTAGTTTCCTGCTCATTTTTGTCTTCAATGAGACTATACAAGTGAGTCAGAATCAGTATTTGCACCAATGTCTCAGAGTATTAAAGTATCATCTAGCAGTAGGTCTCAACTTTCAGAATTTTAAAATATTTGATGAAATACCGAACAAGACAAATGAAACTACATTTACTGACTCAAGCCTCTGAATTGTTTGAAAAGAATTAAATTTGGCTCAAATTCACAGATTGGAAATAAATTGTGTGCATTTCTTTACTCTGTTAGGACAGCTTGTCCCAAGGACAGTTTCAGTGATGGAGCAGTTAACTGTTAGATAGCGTCATTCTAATTTCAACTGCTTGGCTCCATTTATGACAAAACCAACATAAATTCACATAAGACTCTAAACATAAGCAACTCAATATTAGAGCACTACGCATATATTAACGTTAGAGCTTGGATTTGAACATCCTGTTACATACACACACCTCCACCCTAAAATATGATGTTTGACTACTGCAAGGGAACATGAAAAAGGAACTGGACCACACACAGCTGATATGGACTAGATTGAGTTAAATGCAAAAATGAAAACTAGCATAGTGAAAAATAATTTTTATTTTAAAATTGTTTTAATTTAAGGTGTTAAGTTAGATATTTTTTCTTGAATCTATTTTTAATCCAATAGTAGCCCTTAATTGGAAAGGATTCTTCAGGGGGAAAGAACATGACCAAAGTCTTTCCAATTCCTCTGAAGTGCACACACACAAGGGTTGTGGATAATAAAACATGTTTTAAGTGTGCTTGATTTTGCTCAGCAACTAAAAGATCGAGAGACATGTATCATTATTTCACTTCAGAAGAAAGAAGAAACCAATTTGTTCCCCCAATTGCCATCCACGAACCCAGTGTCCTAGTATGGAAAGTGACATACACGAACCCAGTGTTCTAGTATGGAAAGTGACATACACCTTTTGTACCAGGTTAAACTGTATATAATATAATAATTTTTTTTTAAACTATGACAATGTTCGACATTTCCCAATGACTTAGGAAAGAGATTTTGGGAGAATTGATACAGAAGAGAAACCAAACTACTTCAAGGAGGAACCAATTCAGGATTCTACTCAAGTTTTTATGTGGGGGAACGCTCATGGTTTTTTTCCCCCTCTCTCTCTTTCCCCCTTTTTTCTCCAGTCTTTGAGAAAGGAGCAACGATCTTGATTCCTTAAGAGGATTTCCTAACATGGGCCTATATCTGGTAGGAATAGTTCTCATTTTGAATGGCTACTAGTTGCATATAACAGCTATATATGCCAAGCTTTTTCTCCCTGTTTATATGGACTTGACATTGTGAGGGGCCAAAAACATGATACAAACAACAAAAGTTGCAGGGCAGTTTGACCTTTTAGATGTTAATCCTTTTACTTGATAGTGTAGGGGGGGAAATATTTTAAGTTTAAATAATAGTGATTGCTTTTGCTTCACCTGTACCTTACATTATTCATAATGGAAAAATATAATTATAAAACAAATAAGTGATGGGGAAAAGTCATTAGACAAAAAATAAAGATTTAAGTATGAAAATCATCTCTTCCCTCTTGTTCCTACAGATTAAGTCACTATGTTTAATTCCTGATGGCACACAGAGCAGCTGACTGAGGTGCCTTGCTATCTAGTGGGCCAAAACCCAAGTGTTAGATGCGTGCAAGCGCCTCAAACTGGAGCTCAATGAATTCTTCAAAAGGAAATTTCTCCTCCTTATCATACGTATAATTGATTAATGAATCTTAGAATCACAGCTCTAGAGAATAGGGAAATGAAACCCTGAAACTATTCTGCAACTATTCCCACTTAGCATTAAGTCTTCTTTCTAAAATAATAATGATTAATCAGCGAAATGTCAAGCAAAAGCTTGAAACAATTGCATAATTATTTTTTGTATTAGACTATTATACTGCAGGTGCTTGCTTTAACCAAGCTTGGCTTTTCACACTGCATCAGCAATAGTTTTATTTGAAAGTGACAATGTACACTCCAGTTGCTTCCATCAATGCTGAGCTGACTGTCAATGGAAGGATCAGCTTGAAGAAAAACATGCTAATTTTGTAAGTTATTGGGAGGTTTAAGGAAGAGATTTTACATAGAATGTTCTAACATGAATTCTATATCCATTCTATAAGATTGCCTTAACTATTCTAGGAAATAAGCCATATATTTTGCAACTGTCATCTCAAATTATTACCCCCCCAGCACACATGCGTGCGCACGCACACACACACACACCCCTACATTCCATACTGTAACAAGAATAATATTTCAGTATTGTCCATGAACATCTAGAAATTTAAATTTCTTTGGCTAACAAGAGCAGGATGGTGCTCGAGAGACTCAATGAAGGAGGAATTTGGAGAAAAGCCAGATACTAGGGCCAAGATGATTTGTTTGGTGTGCTGCAAATGCTCTGCTGTACAGCAGAACAAAAAAACAGATTCTTTTCAATGTAAAAACTCAAACTTGGATTTGAAGAAGCTAAATGAATCCTTATTTGAGGAAGATGTTCTAGATGGGGGAAGGGCCAAAACAATTCTGTTTCTTGTGCTCTCTCTTTCTGGAGAGACTTACAGAAGAACTCTGCAGAGCCAAGCCACTAAGAGACACCAAACTGTCCCTTTCCCTCTCTTCTAAATGTCTACAGATTGAAGCGGTCACCCTGAATCAACAAGATGGTATCACATGTCATATTTCTCAAGTTAGGCAACTTTCTTAAAGGGATTTTTTTTTGAGGAACATTTTTCTCATTTTTAAGCAATCTGTTGCCTGGTCAGTTTCTGAATCTGCAGCTCAATGTTTAAATGAATGTAAGGGTTTGAATGAAATAGAATTTTCCATATAAAAAAAGTCAGCTATATATGGTACAAATATAAACTGCATAACTAAGCTATCAATATTGTCTGTAGTACATAAACCTGTACAGATTACTATCGTCCTGAGAAAAGGTCATTATTGGGACTACCTGACTGGATAGTCAAATCCCTTTGTTTTGTTTTTGAAGCTTTCCATTTTAAAATTCTAGTACCAATCCTTCAATGTGCTTCTATCATAGGGTCTTGTCTTTGTATTTAAATGAATGCATTACACACAAGCAATAGCTGTCTGGAACCGACTTCTGGAGAAACCTGACTTCATTAGTTTGTTGATTTGACTTCATTGCATTATTTTGTTCCTCTTTTGTAGATAAACGTATGGTTTCTTTCTCTTGCATTTTCCTCTAGGAGGAAGATAGGAGTAGTTCAGGCATACTCCAGGAAAGGAGGCCCCCTCTGTGACCCAGTCAGTCTGGATCCACTCCCCTCCAAACTTCCATACACGATACAGTTGAGAGTTGCAACAAACAGGTGACAGAGCACCAGGGGGAGGTGAGTGGACTTACTTGGGAGTATAAGGATGAGGAAAGGAGCAGTGTTGTGGTGCATTATAGCATATTTCTGTGCCCACCCCTTTGCTGCGTTGGCAATTAAGGAGCAGGACAGCACAGAGATGAACTGAGCACTGACTGCCATGAGTGCACTCAGGCCTGCATCCAGTCAATCTAACATGCAACAGTCAGTTACCAATGGTTCTGTCACTCTGCTGTTACAATGACAGCACTTAGCCTCTCTCAGATTAGTGCAATATCATAAGTAATGTGAATGCTTGTGGACC